TTCCACTCCTGCATCAGTGGACAAATCCTACAAGAGAAGACGCCACACATGCATGGGGGAAAACCAGGGAAAATACTACTTATGCAAGGGGAACAGATAAGGCAAGTGAAAATGATACATTAAAGCATGTGGAGACAAGCGCAACAAACATGTGCTGATTCATCCTCGACAAAGCCGAAGATCACTTGCCACGTGAAGCTCCTCATGGTTCAATTTCATTCAAGATCAAGCCTTTAAGGTCCTTGAAGAAATCACAAGTCCGATTCTAGATCAAGTGTCCACTACCCTTGAATCATATTCAACCCTAGATAAAAGGAGTAAATTTAAACCTTTAGAGGAAGTCTAGTAGAAGACCCTCCAGCCCAGTTCAAGAACAAGCCTGTGGAAAGTTAACAACAAGTAAAGCACCTTTTTTGGCAACTCTTCTTACTAAAATACTGAAGTAGAATGATCAATGATCAACCTAAATAATTTGAAATCAGAGGGAGATACTCATCAGGGGGAGCATCCAAAACAGATCAAGATTTTAACGAGTCAATTGAAGACTTGTGGCCATCCAAGGGGGAGTGTTGTGAATAATATGTGGATGGCCCACATGAATAGTCAGTTACTATTTATGCACAATATTTTCACTATTCATTTGTGGAAAATTTGTAAAGTGAATAGTGTTATTTTTGCTTATAAAATGAATGAGAGATGAAGGAAGAGAGAAGTTCATAGAAGAGGAAGAGAGAAAAGATAGGAAGAGGATAGGAGATAATAGAGAGAGTTATTTATGTGCTCTTATTATTCTAAATTTTAATGAAAGCACCACTGCTACCCCGAGGACATACTCCAGTCACACTGACTGTAGAGGAACCTCATAAATTTTGTGTCTTATTTCATTTATTCCACTGCACACACCGTCAATTTTACAACATGGTGGAATGGGGAGAGGAGTTTTGGTTTGACACACAAAAGTAGGTGGCATCAGGGAAGGTGCGTGGGGCCACACTTTGTAAAATGATGTCGTTTTTAAGCTGCAGTCATTGGATGTAGACGTGTTAAACGGACCGGCCCAACCCAACCTTACCCATTGTATTGGGTCGATGTTGTATCAAAATAAACGAAAAAACAACACCGTCAGGTCGAACTGGCATCAGGGAAGGTGCATGGGGCCACACTTTGTAAAACGGTGTTGTTTTTAAGTTGTAGTCATTGGATGTAGAGGTGTTAAACAAACAGGCCCAACCCAGCCTTACCCATAGTATTGGGTCAGTGTTGTATCAAAACAAATGAAAAAACGACACCGTCAGGTCGGACAGGCATCAGGGAAAGTGCGTGGGGCCACACTTTGTAAAACGGTGTTGTTTTAAGTTGCAGTCATTGAATGTAGAGGTGTTAAACGGACCGGTCCAACCCAACCTTACCCATTTAAAGCACGAGTGTTCGGCTAACCAACTTAATAAGTGGAACGGACTGATCTATCACATTTCTTTTCTTCTAAACAAACCATATTTTTTACACTAAATAGGAGGGGAATGGGCTAGTAATAATATGATTCAAATTCTCCTTTGACGAAAATCTAACCTAAATCCTTTCACTTGCAAGTTGTTGAGGCCCATAAATGTCACACGTAAGCCCAATCAAGCCTTGAAGCCCAATTGTCATGCAAGCCTTTATTAAAGCCCAAATACATGCAAAGTTGCGAAATTGAGGGAGAAATATATTTACAAACATGTCATGCTATGGTAATTAGACCAAATCACGCATGTCTATTTATCATGCTAATCACTATTCATGTTGAGATAAGCCCAAGTCACATGGTCGGGGCTTGTCAAGTGAATCGTGATGTGGATGGTTACAAAAGTTTATTGGGCCTACGTTGAGTCAAGATTGTGGAAGACTTTGGGTTGCTTGGGAGCTTAAAGTCCAAGCCCATAACCTTTGTATTCCACGTGGGTAGGTTTGAGAGAGAACTAGCTTAGTTTGCCTCTTTCCATAGCAAGCCAACCTTCTTCGTTAGGACTAAACTAGATTCCAGCATTAAATGCACTCTAAGCCCATCAAGTTAGGCATTTAATGCAGACTTTCCCTTCCTAGCTTGCACAGAGAACCAATGTACGAAAGCCATGAGGCGCGCTACCTAAAGTAGTGTCTGTGGAATGCTGGCCTGGGAAAGCCGTGCCTCCGGAAAAAACAGAATGCAAATTTCAACAGTATAGCTAACTTACACCAAAGGGAAAATAGTAAGAGAGCTAAGGAGAAAGGAAGGGGAAAACTAAGCCAAAAATGGAGATCCATTTGAAACCTAGAGAAAACCTTCACTTACAAAAGGAAGGGATGAGCCATTAAGCAGAAGAAGGGATAATAGAGACAGAACCAAGAAGCACCACCCAGGAAACATATCCAGAGAACCCCATTAGCCCAAAAATATCCTTTAAGCCTCAAGAATCATCATCCATGCAACCTTAGTATTTCCCACAACTTTCCACTAAAAATTCCAGCCATCTTAAACCTTATTAACACCCTAGGAAACCCAGATTATCTACCAGAAAACACCACGCAACCATGCCAACTCTTCTCTCTCTCTCTCAACATGGTAAACTGATGAACTTCTACCTTTCACACCATGCCTCACTTGAGAAAGCCAATATTTGCTTAATCATGCTATCTTCGAGTCATTGATCTAACTGAAATATTTCCTAAAAGAAGCTAACTCTTTTGAGATATTCTGGGACTTGGTATGAAATCGAACGAAGGGAGACAAGAGGACGTTCTCAAAGCCCAAGTCCACCTCGACCTAAAAATCCCCTAACATAAGTGAAGAGGAATACTACGAAACCATAATAGACAAATTATTAAGTATAACACGGCCCACAACTCTAGCACATTTAGGGGTCGTGTCACTAATCGGGCAAGTCGCCCTAAGCCTGACACAAAGCAAGATTTATTTAAAAAAAGCACGGTACAATCTAATCCCATAATAGCACGACATGACCCGTAAAACAAGATTTGTGCCTTAATATTTATGATGTTGGAATATCCAACATCCTTCCAAGTTGGTATTGGAGTTTCACTCATAACACAACATTTACCAGTCTTTCTCGCAACAAAATTTGGAGAAATATTTACAAATTTGACAAAGTAGTTTGCATATTTCCTTAAAGTACATTTGATCTTGAACCAAATTGAAGGTCCGATTCCCATAATTCCACGACTAAACATGACCAAGTGAAGTCAATACATTTCCACTTGCATTATGTAAATTTTGGTTTTGTTGGTCATCTATTGCCTCAGCTTGTAATTTACTTATTAGCGTACATTTTTGTTAGCGTAATTGAGATGAATTGAGAAAGCATAATTCATATTCGATTGAAACAAAAACAGTGAAAATGCATCAAATACAATGTAGTTAATAGTGTAACACATTTTGATTTAGTTTTTTAATTAACCAAACACACTAGTTAAGATGCAGGGTGATGGAAGGTGTTTGAAGAAACTCTTTTACGCTTTTAATTGAGCTAAGAATGGCCCACAAGAACGGAAATTCTTAGGGTAATACAAGGGAGACCAAATTTGGAAACTAAATGATGTGTCAGCAGTAAGAATGAGCATGTTTATCAACGCTCAAGTAATAAATCAATTATCAACTTCCATGTCCTTTAGTTTCCATTTTGTCTACAAATTTAATCTCCCTAGCATTACTCAAATTGTTAATGCACATTGTTAGTTGTGGGAGAGATTTTTTAGTTTGCTAGGACATGGTTTGGTATACAATGTGTCATAATACAAGTAGTTGAATATTTGAAAAATAAAAAATTTCAACCATTTGTATTATGACATTTTGTGTATTTACCGTGTTTTCGGCTCACTAAATTTTTTTTCAATGGTGGAGCTAAAGTTGTAGTTATAAAAAAGTTGTAGTTTTATAACTGGGGTCATAATAAATTAGCTCGGGGATTGTGTTTTTATTTTAAGTTCAAACGGAAGAAGAATAAAAATATAAGAAAGAGGTGTTGTGCGGCAGTGAGGAGAGGAGACCGCCTCCTCAATTCTTCATATCTCCATTCATTTTCATGATAAGTAAATATGCCCCAAGTTGTTGCATGAAAACAAATCATGTCAACTAAGGTCCCTACTCAACTCAAGCATCTATTAGAGTAACTCCACCGCAAGCAACTCAATCCACTCCTACTTCTCAAAAACACTCTAGCTCGCTCAGGCAATTGGGTTCAAGGGGAGTCCAATGGAGAAGTCAGGCAATAATCCACTGGTTGAGGGCCTAGGCTAGGCTATGTTATGCAAAGATGACGTCATCAACAATTTATATTATAAATTTTATAAAATTTATAAAAATCATTAAAAATTAATTAAAAATATATAAAAAAAATTATAAATACCTAACCATGTTATTTCACTTTACACTACATTTCAATATTTTCAAAAACTTTAAGCCAATCTTTTATTACTATCCGAAATTAAAAATAAAGTTATCTTTTATTATTTTATAAAATAAAAAATACTAATATTTTAATACGAAATGTGTGGGCTATTCAGTTTAGACGTAGAGATGCACTTGAGCAATTAGTGTTTACGGTAGACAGTTACTGTTCATTTAAGGGGATTGAGTTGCCTATTGACCAGGGTGGCCTAGCAACGGTAGAACTGCTCTTAAGTTCCACTGTTGAAGCATTTTGTACTGTCAAGCAGCTGTTACAACATTGTGCGCAGCTGCCTCAAACATATCAAACAGTCGTCATAAAAACCCAAATGTAAGCCCGTGTAACATCGACGTTTTAAATTTGTTAGGCTTTGGCTTGAGACATGCTTAATTTAGGCGGTGTGTGGTTTGTAGTTGGTTATGCGATTTTTGTCCATTTTAGTTTTGTATCTTGAGTAAAACCCGCCAGTTTAAACGAATTGAAACCATCAGAAGCATCCGTACGTTCCGACGTTGCTTTTCATTCAAGCACTAGTACATACCTGCATTTATTTTGATGCATAAACAGTTGAGTGCGGTGGAAAATACAAAGTAATGACATGTATTAAATGTAAATGGTAATCCACAACAATGTATATGTAAATTGCGGTTTTAATTACAAATGCAAATTTACCCTCCCTCAGTAGAACACATTGTTACAGGCAACAATGTATATGAACATTATTCGACTCGTGTCTTTCGTATAAATTATTCCTTGATTCCCACCCAATTCTCAACTTCAGGCAGCAGGAAAAATGGAACAATTTACACATTTTGATTTGGATACCTCAATAGCCAAGCAAGCATGTCCTGAAATTGATAATGAAGATACTCCCGAGTCCCGAATAATGTTATCATACAAACAAGGGACGACATTATTTTTGTGAACCTCGTTTACCTGCAGGTATGGCCAGCCCAAGCTCCTTACATTGTTCCTCATCTGGTTGCAAACTCTTCGGGATTGCACCGAATATCTTTCTTGTTGTTTCAAAACCAGAAGCCACATGATGCACATATGCGGATGCATCCTCCACACTACTCCAAAGGCCTAATGAGGTGGACATAAATCTTTTCGAAATACTTTCTGACGGTTTCCATGTAAATGCCTGGTCTAGCTCAGCAACCCGTAGAAATCTTTCCGTGGCAGCTTCCCATGAAAGCTCATGCCTCTGTGCATCAGTCAGCTGGACAGGCTCTTCAGCAAGCGCCTGCTGTGTGACCTTAACAAACCCATCAGCATTGTCATATGTGCGGCAATTCGGGAACTGCTTGAAGAATTCATTTGAGGGGTGATTGGCACATACAACGATTTTACCCATTGCCAATGCTTCTGCCGTTGTTGTGCAAAGCACATCCGTTGTGCTTGGATTGAGGAATACTTTATAACTGAGAGAGCACCAGGATAATATGTCAATATCCAACCAGGCCGATCATCTCTATGAAAGAAAATCTCAAATGACAGAGGTATATTTGGAAGGAGAAACGTTCAAATTGGTAATAAAACTGCCCTTGATCAGCCCATGATAGAGACTAATTGAATTTTCAACACCCGGAAAACTAGAGTACTTGTATAAACAGAAATCAGTGTATCATCAAAAGATTGGTGAAATGCGATGTTGGACAATTAGTGAATGTCATTAAAAATTTGGACAAAATGAATTTGATCTTATGATGAAGCTGGACAGATAGGTAGAAGCTTACTCGTGAAATTGAAGATCAGCATGGTCACGACCAGGGTGGACTCGAACGGCCAGTTCCAATCTTTTGGCAGCTTCCTGAACCTGATCAGAGTCCTCCCCGCTTCCATATAAATCAACTTCAAGTCCAGTTAATTCCTTTTGATGATCCTGAAGAAGCTTGAGTAGCTCCTTGTAGCCTTTGCTCCATACCATCTTCCCAATGTAATAGGCACCTTTGGTGAAGGCCTGGACTCCATTTCGTTGTTGCTCTAGCTTTTTGTTGCCTATCACCAGAAATTTTGGGTTGACTCCGTGAACATTGCAAACAATGGATTTAGGATAATCCTGGGTGGCAGCAGATAACCGGATTACCTACAATACGTCATAGTTGAGATCTGGTTAGCATGTATAGCAAGATGATGACAATGATATCTGCATTCATCTCTCTCAAACTTCATCATCGTCAATCCTAAGAAGAGTTATCAAAAGTATCCAACAAACTACCAGTACAGCTTTGTTGTCATACAGTAACAACTCGAAGAGCATATTTCACCAAGTCTAATGCAAAAGCTAGAAGAGGCTAGATAAAATAAGTGATGGAAAGCAAAAGATATATTACTAGAAAACTAATATTTATCAAGATGTACCTTATGACAATATATTCCGACAACCCAATTATTTAGATATTTAAGAAGAAATGCTTGCATTCTTCCATTCCTCTCCCTTCTCACATATTCCAAATAATTGGTGTGGATGATTCCCACAACCAGCCGGAATTTAATCTTCCATCTCTTTCCATGGTGAAACCATGTAAGGTGCTCAGGCTCCTCAAGGATGGCAACATCTGCATTTTCGTCAGGGACTACTTCTGAAATATCTCCAGCAGCAAGGATGCTCCTTTTATCTAAGGAAAACTGCAACAGAATTGACGTCACAAGTTGGTACTACTACACAAGGAATGGAAACAAAAACAGCACACATCCTTGAAGGTACGAAAGGAAGAAAAAATGAAAAAATTGGATAGGGCACAGGGGTAGATATGGCTCAACCTGGATGTCCACCAGGTGGACTCACGCCACAGGCTTCCATCAACAGATAGGCTAAAAGTTGTTAAATTCAGAATTTGTTGGACTGAACAGAACAGAAAAGACCCAAAACGGAAATTAAATAAATGACACTCTACGCATCCTACCCTTGAAAGGCAAATAGAGTTGTTCCCTTTGATATAATGAAACCCTTGACTAGCAAGTAAACTGGTTTGTGTGTACAGTAAATCTGCAGGTGTATGTACCTTTCCAGGATAAAAAAGTATACTAAAATCAGATTTAAATCCAATCCTCTCGTCAAGCCAGCGACGGACATAAGCCTCCTGCTCCGTAGGTCTGCTGAATGTGATGTTGTTGGGATATACTAGTTTTTGATCTTTCAACGATAACCAAGGGATGACCAAAGAGACAGGTCTCTCCCCATCTTTTGCAAGATAGGCTGCACGGAATAGAGGGTTGACAGCAGTGCCGGTCATCCATGGAAGGCTTGCAGTGGTAAATATCGCAACATGCCGCTTTTTATTCATCCAATCAATAGAAACGCATGCAAAAAGCAATCAGCTACGTGTACTACTACGGTACCCTCTCACAATTTGGATCAAACAGATTGGGAACACAAAGAACCTCAATAAACTGCAGTAAGTAATAAAAAGGAACCGTCAAACTATATAACGAACTATGACCATTGCAACACATTAAAATTGAAGCAGCCTAAGAGCAGTTCCAGCCATGCTGGTTGCTCGGGCCACAGGGGAGGAGAAAGGGCCCTCGGGCCGGTGGGTGCAGCTCCAGCGGGGACGGGCCCGAGTGGGAGGCCCGTGGAAAATCGACCGGCCTGGCCCCCGAGCTCGCGTGACGTCACGCTGACGCAAGGGCTGGGTCCGGCCTTTTTTTTAATTTTTTTTGTGTCAGGCGCGTGCCTCTCACTCGCGAGTGGGGGCGCGTCGCCCGACAGGATTTCAGGCAGTATGGCCTGCGCGCCAGTTACCATTGGGAAGCCACGTGGCTTCCCACGGTCCATTAGATCCCAACGGATCTTTAATAAGAACCATCCGATTTACAACGGTCAAAAAAAAAAAAAAACTGATTTTATATCAACCGTTCGATCTGAGATCAACGGTTGATATTAATCTGCTTTATAAATTTAAAAAAAAAAGAAAAAATAGTTTTAAAATTAAGAAAAGTTACCGTTGTGACACGTGGCACAATCTAGAGTGTTGGAATTCAAATTTTTTAAATCCAACGGCAGAGATTAATTATTTGAATAAAAATTTTAAAAAAAATGTAAAAAATCCGAAAAAGATGTAAAAAATCTGAAAAAAAAATTGTAAAATTTTTTTTTTACTTTTCTATAAATACCACTTCTTCTCCATCTACCTTACACCACAATTTCATATTTTCTCAACTACTTTCAATTAAATTCCTATCTTTCTCTCAAAGTTTCAATCCAATTTTTTTCCACAAAATGGCTACTGATGCAGGTTCGAATTGGTCGCTTCTTGAAGATGTTGCGTTGTGCACTAGCTGGGTTGAAGTTACTCATAATTCCCTTACGGGTAATGAGATGCAATTGCGAGAAATGTGGAGTTTAATTCATACCAAATTTGTTGAGCAAATGAGTGGGAAAAGAACCAAAGAATCGATATCCAGTCGTTGGAAAATACTTAGCCATTCCTTTAGTACGTGGAGAGATGCCTTGACACAAGCTAGTAATAATGTTCGAAGTGGGGCAAATTATGCGGATGAGGTAAGAATATATTATTATTATTTATTTGTATTATTTATTTGTGACCTAATTTCATTATTATTATTTATTTGTGACCTAATTTCATTATTATTATTTATTTGTGACCTAATTTCATTATTAAAATCTGATCAAAATCTATCGTCATAGATTTTCAAAAAATAACTACACGTGGCACGATGACATTGGATAAAAATCTTATCGAAATCCATCGCTAAATAATTGTTTGTTTTTATAAAATGACACGTGGCGCAACGAGAATGATTTAAAAAATCTTATCCGAAATTACAAATAATTTTATTTTGTATTATTTAAACAAACAAAAAAACTAATATTTTATTGCCTATTGCCTGGGGGGAGGGCTCCAAGGGTGGAGATGCAAATGACAATTACTGTTCATTAATGGCAGTTACTATTCATTTGAGGCAGTTACTGTTCAAAATGGTGGATTCAATAGTGGATTGCCAGGGGGGAAGGCTCCATGGCTGGAGTTGCTCTAAGTAAGTAAACACAATTTATATCAAATGCACACACAAGCAAATAATAACATTATAGAACTACAATTTGTAGGCACTTTCCTGCGAATTCGATACTAATTTTGAATTAGGACTAGTTAAATGATTCCTTTGCACGCAGAAGGGACAATTAAAAATCATGAGTAACTTAATTTAACTCCAATTTTGTGAGTCATTATTAGGTTTAGTCTATTTTGTTGAGTTAGGCACATTTACTGATCATCCACATCAATTTTTTTTATTATAAAAAATTGTGATAAATGTCATTCTTTATTTGTAACTCCGTCTGTGTAAGTTTATCTAACATTGCCAGTCCCAAGCCCGGATAAAGGAGGAGGGGGAGGGTGTCAGGTAGTCGACAGCCGGCACTCCTAGTTTATGTCGAATCCTTATGAAAATGAATCAAGAACGAAAGCGCAATGGCGTTCTAGGATTCACATAGCCGACTCCACTTAGTGGGAAAAAGCTTTGTTGTTGTTGTCATTCTTTATTTATAGGTTTATCTTTTATATTAATTCAATATTACCTTCATTGCTAACAGTTAAATATAATAATTAAATATTGTTCCCCCTTTTTCTTGCACCTAATTTGTATCTCATTTTTTTCTTCTACTCCATCACATATTATCTGTGTTAACTAATCTATGTTGTGGTCTTGTAGATACTATATATATTTGTTTTTTTTGATGAAGATATATCAGCATAAATACTAGTATGCATTTATAATGCATCAACGATTAAAAAATTTTGACCTATTTTTCATGAATGATAGGTAGACGAATTTTTATTCATCTTTGTACATATATATCTTTATTATAGGTTAAATGTATTTTATCAACCTATGATATATATATGATGATTAGGGATGGGCAAATACCTATTGGTTATACTAGTCCATTTAAATTTCACGGTTACGGTTATGGGTAATCGTTTAGATTAATAAAGGGTTATGGGTATAACCATTTACCCGCAAAATTTAAATGGGCAGTTATGGGTATTAACCGCGGTTATAAACGGGTAACCATTTATCCATTTATTTTATATATGTAAAATTATAACACAAACCATGTTTCCTATCAGACAAAAATTAAATCAATGCTATTGACTATAGTGCATGATTTCTATAGCTAATATAATATAGTTTTCCTTAACCACTTTAAATTTTATGGTCTATTATATATATTATGTTAATATTTTACATTCCGAGTTAAATAACCCAAGAATATTGTCTTTTAACAGTTTTCGTAACTCAATAATACTTAGCAAATTTTATATTACCTTTATTGCTAACAGTTAAAAATATCGTATGTAAACTATTATTTCAATTATTGGAATGATATAAGGACTCAAATAAAATGCGGAAATGTATGATGAATGTACATATAACGGTGTTTAATTGTTAGAAAAAGAAAATTATGACAAATTTTTCTTTTTAAATTTTCAAGTTGTTAAAAAAACACATAGATGGGTGAAAAATGAGTAAATGGTAAAAAAGAAAGGATAAATGGGTTTAAAAATGATAAATGGCTAAACGGATACTAAACGGTTACGGTTAAATGAGTACATGGTTATGAGTATGGTTAACCGTTTATAAACGGTTTTGGGTATGGGTATAACCGTTTAGACAATTACCTAACGGGTAAACGGTTATGCGGGTATGAGAATAAATGATTATGGATAAATAACCGCGGTTACCCGCTCACCATAACCGTTACCCATCCCTAATGATGACATGTAAATTTTCTTTTAATTATTTTCCATGAAAGTGGTTAAATTTTTATATTTAAATATTCAAATTAAAAATTTGACAAAACATGCATAAATCAAGAAATTTAATTAAAATTGAAATATAGAAAAACTGGACTAAATCCAACAACAGCTCAAATTCTTGAATTCTTGGACCTGATCAAGGTAACCCATTAAACATTGATTAAAACTATGATTTACAGTAATTTTTAATTAAATTTCCAGAGATCGATAAAATTATACAAAAATTCGGCGATATACCCAAATTTTAAAGATCCAATACGTGTAAAAGCTATCTAATACACCTCATCCTTTATAATATCGATTTACACTTAAAATGCATATCGAAGCGACCTAATTCGAATGATACAGAACAAACAGATATACAAATTTCATATATTAAATCCGTAAAAAGTATATAAATTCAAAAGTTTCTGAGAAAACAGTACCTTACGAATTTTCCGGAAAAAAAGAGAGGAAGAATTGAAGCACAGGTTTTGAAGGAATTTCAGGCGCAGAGAGCGAGAGAGGAAGAGGAAGGACGGTTGCCTGGTTGGCTACGTTAAGTGGAGGAGGAGGAGAGCGAATAAACGTTTTCCGTCTGTGGAATTTTACGCGGTTTGTTTGGGCGGATAGTCTGGTTATACGATGTCGTAAAGGGTAGCTTTCACTGTTTTACCTTGGGAGATTACGAGGCCAAGCCGCCACCTTCGGTCCGGACGTTAACGTTAACTGCAAAGGGCCGTTGAACCTAGTAGTCGTAACGCGTGTAGTGCCATTTCTATATTGATTTTAACAGCTACAAGGTTCCTTTCTTTTCAGGAGTTGCTTTTGTTTTGTTTTGTTTTGTTTTTTTTTTTCAATGAGAATGCATTTCAAATTCAAGAGGGTCCAAATAGAAAGAGTAAATAAGCAACAAGCATCAGCCCAAAACCTAGTCTGGAATCCAATAACACACTTAGAAACTTAGAAAAAGGAAAAATAGATGGTTTTTATGTACTAGGTATAAGAAGATTGGCTGAACTTACTCCTTTTTTTGATAGACGAATAAGTGATGGAATTACAAATGGAGTCGGTATTGTGAGTTTGTTTTGTAGGAGAGGGTAGGGGTGGATTTTTTTTTGCCAAATTGTCGTGCCAATTGAATTGTCAACCGTATCATACCGATTTTGTGCCAATTGGTAATGGTACGGTATTGTACTGTACCGAAATTTTATGGTATGTTATTGGTAATAGATACTATTACCACGGTATTACAGTACTGTTCCGAAAATATAAATAAAATACCCCTAATTACAATTTTAATATATACATTTTAATTCTATGCAGATTTGAAGGGAGGGATTAATGAAAAAAATGCATTAATGTTTAAATTCATTGCATATTAATATATCATAACAAATTGTATGTTAAAAAAATAAATAAATAAACATTAATGTTATACTTTCCTTAAGATTTCGTAATTGTTTTCCAAATTTGCATAAAATTAGACAATTTTAATTTAATCTTGTCATTTTCTTACTAAATGAAAACTGAAAGGGAACTACGAAGTAATTTACATAAAAATATAGGTAAATTATTTGGACATTTGTGTTAGTAATAAAATAATCTCAGTTATGTAATAATACATGCAAAATAATTTACCTACAAAATAAAAGAATGTTATTTGATTGAAAATTAATTTATCTACATTTTATATGTAATAATGCATGTAAAATAACTTACATATGAAATAAAGGAATGTAAGTTGATTAAAAAATAATATATCTACTACTTTTTGTTTATGAATTTTAATTTACCTAATGTTTTTTTTTGTACAAACATAATGTACCTACAATATATAATTCCTACTAAAACTAATATAAATGCGCCTAGTATATGTAATAATGCATTAAAAAAATTTACCTACAAAATAAAGAAATGTAATTTGATTGAAAAAATAATAATATATCTACTACTTTTTGTTTATGAATTTCAATTTTCCTTTTTTTTTTAGAAACATAATATACCTACAATATTGTTTAATTCTTATAAATAAATAATGTACTTATAATTTACCTATTGTTTAATTCTTATAAAAAATTAATTTACTTATATTTTACATATACATTGTGACAACCCGTCTCAAAATAAAATATATTTGATCTCCGAAAGCTTGGAAATGACGATTTTACCCTTGTAACGATGTGTGGTGAATGTATAAACAAGCTAAGGAAATGGACCAATCACCATATCTCCTATTTTCTTGGGTCCAATTAGAATTTTGGGTTGCTATTGGATCAACTATTAGGCCTAAAACCTTATGGTCAATCAAAGCCCTATTTCCTTTTATTTCTGTCCATTTCTGTGACCAATACACACACATACACACGTGCCCTTTTTCCCTCACACTCTTTCTTGTTCTCGAACTCTCTCTTTCCGTACAACTCGAGCTCACAGCTCCCAAACCCTTCTAAACTTCACAAATCGAGTGTAAGGTTAGTATAATCATGTTTCCCTTAGTATAATCGTGTTTCCCTCAACCTCACTAGTTGAGTCATACCCTTGGTTTGAGGAGAAGACCGGTAGAACTAGAGATATCCGAGCTCCGGCAAGGGGTGCAATTTTCTCCAAAGTGATCACGAAAGTTTAAGCTAGTTTTGAGACTTAAGAAGGTAATTATTCAACTTCCCTGGCATGTTAGACTAGTTTTGGTTAAGTTGGACGTCGAAATAAGCTCGGTAGTGGGTTTGTAGGAATAGTCGATTTTTCAAGGATTTTTTTCGGCCATTTTCCGTTGGATTTTGGAGTTTTAACAGGTGTGGATGTGTTCTCCTTGTTATGAGCTTTAAATCCGTATAAATTTCATGAAATTTGGTTGAAAAATGAAGAAGATATTAAGGATTAAAGATTTTCCAGAAACTGGTGAGTGCAGCGGCGGCCGGTGACGGATTTCGGCGAACCATCGAAGAAGAAGACAAATATTCCGTCAATTTTGACAAAATATACCTAACGGCGTCAGGTATATTTAACGATATATTCCATTATTTAATGGAATATTCTTTAACGGTGTTAAAGATTCCATCCGTGTGCCAGGCACGTGCCTGCGTGTAGCCGACGCATGTGGCCGTGCTTTGGTCGGCGCGTGACGGCCCGTAAAATGTCAAAAAAAATTTCTAAAAATATAGGGATGTTCGTGGTGTTAAGTAGGTCATGCTGGTATATTCAAACACCTCAATTGAGCAACGTATGAGAAGTTATTACATAGTTTTGAGTATGTGCTTAAAAATAACATTAAAATAGTTGTTTCACATATAGGTCAGACGTTTCCAAAGGACAACCGCAGTCAGGCGAGACTCGGGGGTTACAATCCTGCCACATACTAGTGAGTGGGCTTTTGGTTTTCAATATATATATGGCTTATGTTTTTCCCATAAAAATTGATTTAAATGATTTTGTGTTTAAATGCCATGTCAAATGCTTATATCTTAGAATATGCATTTAGTAGTTGTGTATTTTATTGTTTGATGCTACGGACGCTCAGGTAAGTTCCAGGTGAGTATATGTATTGATGACTTTGTGTTACATTGTAAAGGTTATACTTAGAGGCATTTAGAGCTCATAAACCTGCACCCAGTTGTTAGTGCTCCCGCCCTTGGCCAGGGCATAGTTGATGCGAAAAATAACTTAACACACAAATTAAACCCTCTTTTTGACAATTGTAGTACGGATAAGTAGGGATCGTTCTAAACCGGGGATTAGGAGGGATTGCTAAACGCTTGAAAACTGACTTAAAAACATAAAAACAAAGTTTAAAACACTAAACTAGACTCAAAGAATACAAAACTAAACTCTAAAACACTAAAACAAATCAAAAGACTCAAAACAGCACCAAAAACACTCAAAACTGCCTTAAAACACTTTCTGGGCAGTTTTGAGACTCTAATGCAAACTTGAATGAATTTTGGTTTCCTAATGACCTAAAACACTTAAAAACATAATCTAAGACAAGTTCTAACTAATATGACTCAAAGAAATAAAGTGGGGTTGATTTTGGACGAATTTAAATTAAATGGCAGATTGTAAAGAAAACAGATTGTAAAACAAAATTGTGATGAATCAATGGATGATGGAATAGCTAAGGGGTTCTTCTCCACACATGAAATATATGCAACGTAAATCAATTTCCAGTTATCAATTCAATAAGTTATGAACCTCGACACTCCAAGTTAATTAGGTCCGCTTAAATTAACCTTCAGATTTCCCTAGAATCATTGAATTGGATGAATATGCATCGCAAACAAATTATTCCCAACAAGTTCTCTATATGAACAGCATGATAAAGATACAAGTTAGAATCACTACGTTCTTTGGAAATCATAAGCATCGACAAGGCATTCGTAACTATGAAAAGCATGATACTCTTGCCAGGAATCTACTTAACATGATCGTGACTAGCGACCTTCACTACTTGCGAATATAAATTCATAACGATTAGGTGAAACAAACTTATATCCTAGCACCAAATTCAAGCATGCAAATTAAGCGTGCACTCTCAATCAACATACAAGAATAAGTTCTAAATCAAACGGTTAAGCAAATTGTATTCACGACTCATGCAACGATAACTGGAAGTAATCAACTTATTTCACATATATAATCATGGTTTTGAATCCCCCCTAGCCAAGGGGGTTTTAGTTCCTCATACTTGCAAAGCAAAGATACATAAATTTAGAAATTAAACTCCAAAGAAAGAAAACACCTAGAACGCTCCAACTTGGCAGCAAGCTCATCAACGATTTCTCCTTCCTCCTTACTGCGGCAGAGAACTTTAGAACAGGTTTTGGGTGGTATTTATGGTGTAGAATGGATGGGGAATGGTATGGAAAAGTTTAGGGTTGATGGGTGGTGCGGCTAGGGTTGTTTTTGGGCAGAAATTATGGACTATGGTGATGGAAAGGTGCGGCAAAGAGAGCCTCTTTGTTTCTGACGTGAATGATGTATATCGGAGGTGGTCTTTCGGCCAAAAGGGTTTAATGAGTATATATAGGCACTTCAAAACCCTAGCAATCAGATTAGGGTTTCTAGAAACCCTAATCCATCAGAAATTAGGTTAAAACAATCAGATTTTTAGTGGGAATAAGGCCTAAGGTGCGGCTAGGGTTAGGGTTAGAGATGGGCCTTCTAGAATGCCTTGCAAGGCAAGGAAATCAGATATTCTAGAGGCCTAGGTGCGGCTAGGGTTAGGGGAAAAAGATAGGTCATCTAAAAGCCCAAAGCCACGAATAGAAACTCTCGAAAATGGAAACCTCCAAGAATAGAAACTTCCAACTTTAGAAACTTTGGTTTCCAATTCTGAATTCTTTGTTCTTCACTTTCATTTCTTCATTTCTTAAGCTCCTTTGACCTTCAAACTCGTCCATTCCTTGTGCTCCAAGCATGTACTTTCCAATCTAAGCTCCATTTTGCTCCAAAAGGCTCCAATTTGCATCCTTTTATGTAATAGGCCCTTAAACCTGAAAACATATGAAACTAGCTTAAAAGACTACTTTAAACTAAGAAAACATAACAAAAATGCATAAGAACTAGTTAACTAAGGTGCATAAATATGCTCCTATCAAATTCCCCCACACTTAGCTTTTGCTAGTCCTCGAGCAAAACAAAGAAACAAAACAAAACAAAAACACAATCTAAACCTTCCAACAATTGCCTCAGGGATTTTCAATGCACATGACAGATTAAAAATCATCATTCCCA